TGACTTGTCATTTATTTTTAAAATTTTGTCCTTCGATGAACTTTTTAACTTTGGAAAGTTTCAATGTATCGAATTTATTATGGCTCATCTTTTCTGTGGCCTAGCAAGGGAACATTTCTCATACTAAGATTTGAAAGATACTTTATGCTTGCTTCTTGAAGATTAAGTTATTAAGATTAAGTTATTATATTTAGTTTATGATCTATCAAAAATTAATTTTGGGTTAGGGATGTGTTAGACACACTTTTGAATTTACATAATTATTTGCTCCAGTATCTTCTATTAGTAAGATTTTTTTTTTAAATCATTGAATTCACTTGGTGCTTTTCTTGCAAGTCAGTGTGGATAGGTTTCTGGACTCAAGCTTTTTCCCCAATGTTATACTTTTCTATATTTTCACTAATACAGTTTGTGAGGCTTAAAAGCTAAAATTAAAATTCCATATTATGTGCTGCTTTGACATGTGAAAGTTGGAGGACTTCAGATGACCTAACCACAAGTTCCCTTCCCCACACTATGCCAGTGGATAAGGGCCTCTAAAAAGAAATCCTCTTTATCAAGGGGAACAGACACAGTTGCTGCTTATTCCTGAGTAGTAGGATCCAGTTCCCAGCCAGTTTGTAGAATTATTTAAACAAGTCAATCACATTCTCCTGAAGGAGTGGGGTGGGCCGTGGGCCCACCCCATTCACCCCATCCACTCTCCAGATATTGCAAAACCTACTTCCCACAGCCCCTGGTTTTTCCTCTAAGCCAAAGTGCATCCCCTGTGTGATACCTGGTGTTATCCACAGAAAACATTACATTTATATGTGCCAGTGTGTAAGCTGTTCCTAAATCTCATCTAAGGTGGGGGTGGGGGTGATTCTTTCTTTACCAGTGAGGTGAAGAGGAGGTGAGTAGAAACACTATTAGGTTTTGGAAAGAATCAGAATTGGAATAAATATTTCCTATCTTTTACCTATCCTAACAGGTTATTTATTTATTTTTCATTGTATTATTTATTAGTGGGGTAACAGTGGCTAATGTCAGTCATGTTGTTGCAAATGGCAAGAGTTCATCTTTTATTTTGTAGGTGAAAAGGATGCCATGGGGTATCTTTATCCACTGTCTGTCCTTAGGCAACTTCCATAGCTTGGCTACTGTAAATAGTACTGCAATTTACATAGGAATTTAGATTTTCCTTCAGTGTACATTCTTCTATATACATTCTTTACGTATATAGCTAGGAGTGGGATTGCTGGGTTATATGAGAGATCTACTTTCAATATCTTTATAAGTCTCCACACTTTTTCACAGCGGTCAGGCTGGTCTAAGCCCTCAACAGCAGTGTGTGAGGATTCATTTTCTTCCCATATTCTCACCAACCTATTTCTGGTCTTTATAATATGGGCGGTTCTCACAGGTATTGAGTGGAATCTCCTTGTATTTGATTTGCATTTTCCTCATGGTAGTGATGATGAGAATTTTTTCATATGCCTGCTGGCCGTTTGATGTCTTTCGTGGAGAATTGTCTATCTGTTTGGTTCTTCTGTCCATTTTTTGATTGAGTGATTTCTTTTCTTTTTGTTGGGTTGTAATTTCCTTAAGCTTAATTTTTAATCAGTAAAATTAGGAGTTGATAATTAGTGTATTTTCGAGAATTAAATATGTCATATTCGCCTACATGTAACCCATTGTTTAGCTCATCAAATTTACAGTTTGTTACTTTTCTTACCCCACCCTTGTACTATATTATTACAAATTTCCTTTGTCCACATACAAATTTAAGAGGTTTTTAATAACATTAAATTAGTGTAAAAGTGAAGCTAAAACTTTATTTTCTGCAATTACAAAGTTTGCTTTGTAGAAGTATTCAATTTATAGAGAAGTGTTAAAATAAACTTTTACATTTTTAAATTACTTGAAGAAAATAAGAATTTTTCATGTGTAAAAGAAAATATTACTTGATAAAAGAAATTTTATCAAGTACAAGTTTACAAAAATACATTTTGCAGCATTAGAAACATTTTTAAATAATAATAATAATCTATTAACAATGAGTTACTTAATCTAATGTTTTCTTTTAACTGATTTATATATTTCTTTGGCTTAAACATTTTTTGTATATCTTGTAGTCAGGAAATTAATTTATGTATATTCTATAAATAAAAAAAGAGAAGGGAAATATACCCATTATTCCAACACCTAAAAAAACCATTTTACAGTGTATTGTCAATGATAAAATGATAAACAAAACTAAGACCTCCATATTTTAAATACATAATATAATGAGCTTTGTAGTTTCTTATTAAATTATTCAAAATAAATACATGGCAATAGGGTAGAATAAAATTTAATAGAAACAATGTATAGGCAGTGGGGGTAGAACAGAGTGAAAGGGTTCAGTTATACAAAATTTTGATGCTATAGTTTTCCCCAACACAGCATTTAAAATAGCTAGAAGAATGGAATCAGTATTCCTCAGGCAGGAATTACAGGAATATTATTTTTCTTAAAAGTTTAGATGAATATTCATAATTCCCAAAGAGCAGGATTTGAATTTAGACCTCTGACAGTTTTTAAAGCACCAATATATTCTGTCAGGAATTAAGTTTATGGGATGATCCATAAATTAAAATCATATAACAATTTGGGGATTCATAGCATAAAATGGCTTATATTGATAATGAGATAAACAATCTCCAGTGTTTTTTGTTTTTTTTTTTTTAAAGATTTATTTATTTGTGCATACAGAACTGGGATACAGGCCAGAGGCTCAGGGGCGGTGAGAGGCTTCACCAGAGACAGAGTGGGGAACAGAACAGGCAGATAGACGAAGTACACTGCTGAGGGGAGCAGCGGGCGGGTCAGGAGAAGTCTGCCACACCATGTGGTCACCTCTGGGGCAGGCGGGAATCGAACTCATGCGGAAGCGGCTTTAGATTCTCAATGCTGTGCTTCAACCCGCTGCGCCACCAGGGAGGGCCCACAATCTCCAGTGTTTTGATCACAAGATTACTTATAAGCTAGGGTGGGTTAACCAAAAATCATTATTGGTCAATACTTTTCAGGGTACAAATGAATTGCTTATCGCAGTTCACTTTTAATTACCAATTGAGAAGCATTTATTATCATTATAGAACCAATGAGTGATCTCTTACTGGTCCTATCTTTAAGGCCAATCTGTTCATCCATTTTTGTTAAGACTAAGGTGATGGATTTAAAATTGCTCACTAACTAGAAAAAAAACTCACTTGTACTTTCTGAATTACTGGTAACATCTAAGCCACAGCTGGATTGCTTCCAGATAAAGAGACCATAATATCTTTATTGTAGTGCTGAAGATTGTGGTTGTGCTGAGAAAAATATGAAGTATCATTGTTCTTTTTAGTAGCTAATTGGTGCCTGGATTGTCTGTGATGGAACTTTTAACTTTTTCACTAATGCATAGTTTTACTGTGAATGTTTTCTGATATATCTTACAATCAGCTGTTTTGTAACTCATGTCAGAGTCAATTGGGTTTGCTAATGAGATTTGGGTGTCAGTTTAAATCACCTCTTTTTATATATCATTTTATGTTTCAACAACGTATTCTCAGAAATTAATGGCAAATATTAAGAAGAACAAAAGTGTTAAGAACAAGTAGTTTAGAGTTCATGCAAAAATTAGGCCTTGTTTCAAATCCTAGTGTTCTGTATGTAGAGTTAGGGACAGAAGTAATACATAAACAAACAGGCTCAAGATTTACAGTTTTTCATTCTGAAAGAAAATATCACATAACTGAATATTTACCAAGAGCCAAATGCTTGGCACAGAAATTGACAGAAAAATTAATTACACAGGAATCTAACTTTCAAATAACATCCAATAGTTGATAAGCAAACTGAAAGCCAAATATTTTCCTGCTTTCCTTTGTAATTCAGCACCTAAAAAGTATCCTACTGAAGCTGATGAAGGTTTTGTGTAATTATTGAGTAAGTTGATACATAAGGAATGGATATATTTTTATAACTTGCTATTTACATATTAAAGAGTACTATGAAATTATGTGTACAATTAAGAGAGCTTAAGTGAAGCCTGAGAATCAGAGATTTTGCTGGAGTAGTGAAATTATAAATTCCATAAACATGTTTAAGAGAAAACGCCCATAGAAAAGTCTTTGATCAATTTAACTATTATATATAGCTAGTAAATTTTTCTATTAAAGAAAAAGTACAAAAACATTACATATAATCTCATTTTATTTTCATGAGACTCCCAATTTTTCCTCATCCATTATTTAGTGATACTAATAAAATGTCAATTACTTTTCACCACTAGATCAGAATTAGAGGGAGTAAAATACTGATCAATTTTATTAGCTGGTTCTGAATGAAATTCTGAAAACAAAATTCTGTGTTTCCTGTATATCTGTATAATTCAGTTATTTGTTTCTTTCTTTGTTACTATTTATGAACATTAACATTTGTTTCAAATAATGATATAGCTGATGTATTTTATAAAAATAGGCTTGTATATGTATATTTATATTCAACTGGCATACATAAAAATAAAGACAATGTAAATGAAATTCTATTTACTTATATGCATGCATATATGCCCTTGAACAAAATGTGGTTTTCTGGATGGAGTACACTGGAAAATTGTTGCAAAATGTCTTCTCATTTCCTTTGTTTAGTAGAACAAAATGTCCAATTTATTGACTAGCCCATCCAAACAAAATTCCTTACAGCACATCATCAACACCAAGTTTCTCTTAAAATCAGCAATGCATGAAGCATGAGTGTGCATAGGAAAGTTACTACATGTTTTTCACATAGATTTTCCTAATAATAATTTCTGTGTTTTTATATCTACCCTTGGCCTTTTCAGAGATCCTGCACCACTTCCATTATTCCATCATCCCAGAGGTCACAGATCATACAAAACTACACAACCAGGAAATCAAACTTCCTGAGTCCACCACAAAACAGAGAAACCTGTTTCCTCTACACATCTCAATTGGCAAAGCACTAACTTAGCAGACTGAGTGTGGAAGCATCTAAAGAAAAGACGCAGAAGACTTTATCCCTATTTCACATGATTTTCCCAGCTTCAAATAACAAAGATGAAGGGAGCCAGGCTTTTTGTCCTGCTTTCTGTTTTATGTAGTGTGGGCTTTGGGCTTATCAACACTACAAATACTTGGACTATACCTGAGGATGAAAACTACCAGAAGAACATGACTTCTGTTTCTTTTGATCCAGAAAAAATGCAAAGTTTCCAGATGGTGCCAACTACTCAGATCATGTCAGCTGAGGTAACAACAACACCTGAGACCAGAATTTATGAAGAGAGTCTTCTAAAATCAACGCTGCCTTCAGGAACAGCAGAATCTCCCAAGGGTCTGAGAAAGCAGACTGTCACACCCACAGAGAAGACAGAAGAAGAGATGCTAACCTTGCAAGCTTTTGCCCTCCCAAGCAAACCTAGCATCAAATTCAGTCCTAAAGCAAAGCCAGTGGTCCTCTCTAACTCTACACTGAAATTCCTTCAGAGTTTTGCTGGAAAGTCAAACCAACAAGTAAACTCTATAAACTCTGTCGGAGGTGTGGGAAATCTGTCTCCACGGGAAACACACCTCAGCAGAAGTGACAACAGTGGAAGCCGAAGGACCAGCTATCAAAAAACAAGTTTTGAAACAACTAGGGGAAAGTAAGAAACATTCTTTTCTTTTTTCTTTCTAACTCTATGGTCTATAAGATCACAAGTTAACAAACTATCACACTTCCAGAAAATGATTTCATGTTCAAGTTGAAATTTAATCATATTTCAGTAAGATAAATCAATTGTTACCTTGTCTAAAGGGGAAAGGGTGAGCAAAACAAATGCAGCAATTTTTTTTTTAATGAACTAGTCACTTATAGAAGTGTCAGAGTATGTAGGATAGTGGCTAAGAAATTATGTAGCACCACAGTGACAGTTTAGTTAATTCAACTCCGTAATAATTTGGTTGTTCTTGGAACTACACTTACTATGTGTAGTAAAAAATGTCGATGCAACTGGGATGTGAAATTTTAAAATTGAAACATCCTGATGCTGTAGAAGGTGTATATTGATCAACATCAAGTTAAGTTGAACTGGGATGGAAGCCAAGCCCAACACTCCAAATCTGTGATATGGAACAAGAGTAATAGTCTCCCTGAAACTCAGTTTCTTCATATGAAAAACAAAAATATGTCATAGCAAATACAGTTCAAAATATGCCACCTTGCAGGGTTATTATTAAAGATTGAAATGAATGAATCATGCTTAGAGACGCATTTGTCACAGAATTGGATTTTTCAGTACTGATATATTCATCATCATGAATTGATGAAGAGAATAGTTTTTCCAAGTTGATTTTGACTTAAGGCTAGAGAAAATTCAATTTGAATTGCTGAACTAAAATAATGAAGCAATTGTTAACAGCATTATTGGAAATTTTCAAAAAATAAAACTAAACCAACACCAAGACATCTGTGGGAAACTCAGGTTAGTGTTTTATTATGAATGTTCAGTTCTATGTATGGAACCTGAAAAGTGTTACAAAGCTAAACTTTCAAGTACCTTTTACCTATAATAAAATTATTTCAAGACACCAATTAATGCCTTGACAATTAACTGACTAAATTACTTAATCAGCTCTATAACAAGTTACAGCAATAGTCGCTGATACCTGCGATGTGAATAGCATTGTGTTGAAGCTATTGTTGATGAGGAAATATTGGAAGAGATACAAGTCAATTGGTTCATATACATGTGTTATTTATTATTCAAATCTGGTTCTGGTATTTCATTGATTTCTAAAAGTTATAGACTCTAACATATGTCAGTATCGAATTTTAATTAAATACTTATTCACTTGGTGAAAGTTAAAACAATCCCAACTTGCCATAAAACAAATGCTACAGATTGTAAAATGTTCAAGTAGGGATGGCAAGATTTTGCCTATATAGATAAAAATTAATATTTTTTTGGGACAACAGAATGTTGTCTATTTAAGAAAAACAAATACTATTAGACGGTTTTCGTATTACTAGCATGATCATTTCTATTACTAATATTTAGTTATAGTCTGTAATTTAATTTTGAAGATTACATAGAACTTTTAATCACTTGTAGGAACTAATTGTAAACCTTTTAGAGATTCCATTATCAAAGAATTTTAACACGATAGGAAGTATTTCTTCAAAAGAAGAAGGGGTCACTCCATGGTGGTGCAAGGATTGAGTCTCAGCACTATGAAGCAGCCACTGCAGCACAGAGTTAGATCCCTGGCCAGAGAGCTGACCAGATGGTGGAGCAGACCTCTCCTTTCTCACTCACTGCTCACCTCAGCAGATCCACCTGTTCTGCTCCCCACACTGTCTCTGGTGAATCCTCTCACCACCACCCCCAACCTTTGGCCTATACCTTAATTATTGTATGCCTAAATAAATAAATCTTTAAAAAATAAAAGGGACCCATTAAGTTAATCACTTAAATTGTATGTAAAATATAGGAAGTATACATAGTTGTATCATAATTAGAACTACTAACTGATATATTAATGAAGCTAGTTTTTAAATAATCCTATTTGCTCTATAGAAGGATCTATCTCACTGTCAAAGTTTGGAACCACATATTTTCAGATTGTTCTCACATCATCTATCACAGTGCTTGAGTCTGGAATATGTAAAATTTGAATAATAAAAACCTGCCTCCAAAGAATATGTAATATAAAATTAAAAAATCAGGCCAATATTTAAAAATATGTATTAAAGAGATTAAAATTATAACCTGTTGAACAAAACTTCAGCCCTAAACTTTTTTAAATGAAAACAGTAGTAGAGAAAATTAAGTTCCTACTCTTGAGGACAGGGTGCTGATGTAATGATTCTGTTACTATTTCTTTACACATTGGTTGCATAACAACTAAGCTCATTTAACTAGTTAATCTCAGAACAAAGTTAAACTAAGGCTGACTGGCTTTGGAAATGTTTCAACCCCACATTGCACTACTTCAAAAATTCTCTTTATTGTCCCAAGTGGGAAAATAATTGTGACATTTTCACTTTCTTGCCATGATCCTTTAGAGGCTATTATTTGTCTTCAGAACAAAATCCAGACTCCTTGCACAGTTAGTCATTCGGTACCATCTGTGACCTGGATCGTGCCTAAATCCTCAGAATCATCCTTTACCACCTCCAGTCCATTAAAATATCTAGTATTCTATCCAGAAATGCTATTTGTTAAATCTGTCTTTGTTCCTTGTTTAGCTCTCTGGGTAAAATGAACTCCTTTTCCTATCTCTTTCTTCTTTACACCCAATAACAATACCTGTTGGAGGCCTTCTCAGGCCGACAAATGCTCCTTTGAACTACTCATAACAGTTCTACTTGAATTCATTGTCACTGCACTTATAATAGTATATTTTAATTGTAGTAAACCCGTGATCTTTTATGTGGAGATTAATTTTCAGCACTAGCAGTCTCTGACTTATAGTAAGTTTAAAATAAATATTTAGCAAACTTAATGCAAATATGGGCCAATATGTGACTACAGAGAAGAAACATTCCCAAAGTAATCTTATTTTCCTTGAAATAAACCTAGTTGATTTGGCCTAAATTCATATTAGTGGGTTTTGTGGTCCTAGTGTTCTTAGAACTTTATAGTGATTCTTAATCAAGGGATATGTTTCTCTTTAGGTCTTTTCTGGCATATTTTTGTTCCATCTTAGACTTTTCCCCCATGTTAGCACACAGGAACTCTGGCTACGCCCTAGCTGTGGTTTCCTGTCTTGGAGAGTGGGTACTGGTCAGTGACTAAGCATTATGAAATAGGCAGGATAAATGAAGACATGAGGATTAACATTTTCTTTCTTAAAAAAAAAAAAAGACTTACTTATGCAAACGCAAACAGAACTGGGGTACAGGTCAGAGGTGCAGGGGAGGCGAGAGGATTCACCGGGGCTAGAGTGGGGAGCAGAACAGGTAGATCGACAAAGTACACTGCTGAGGGGAGCAGCGGCAAGACAGGAGAGGTCTGTTGAGCCGTGTGGGTCACCTCCCGGGCATGGGTTCCAACCCGTGCTTAACAGTCTGCGGCTAATTTTCAGTAATGTGCCCCAACACGTTGAGCCACAAGGGAGGGCTGGAGAATTAAAATTTTCATGTGTTGAACAAGTACTGGCTGCATATCTAATTTATCTCTGGCACCATACTTAAAAAAGTGAACCAAACTCTTACTTGGTCTGCCCGCATGGCTTCTACTGTCCAATAGCAAAGGCACAGCGAGGAAAAAAATGCTGATGTTGAATCAAAATGGTGGTAAACTTTCTGCATGGAATTTAAGAGAAGCTACACATGGGGGAGAACCTACCATAGGGTTAGTAAATAATAATAATAATAAGTGAATAATAAGTGATAATAAGTAAATAATAATAATAATAATAATAATAAGTGAATAATAAGTGATAATAAGTAAATA